AAGCCAAAAGATTTAATCTTGCAGGGAGTTGTTCTCCGACGGGAGTGGAACAATATCGTTTCAGTCTAGAAGAAAATACAGTTCCATTCGGAAATTCAAACCGGAATTTTTGATCGAATAAAACGCGCGCAAGTTTATCTTATATCGCTTTATTGACTTCCCATTGACCTAGAGAGTGAAACAATGAAAGTACAAAGAGAAAGTGGGGTGGGTTGGAACGGGTTTCGTGAAGAAGTATGGATATGTATAGATACGTGAATAATCAGAAAACTACAGCTTAGCCGGGTGCAGAGGTCTCGCCCGGTTACAATGAATCGTAATTTGATTTCGCCCGGCCAAAGCACATTTATATATTTCTCTTGTGTTCTTCATATGACGTCATTAATTTTTGACAGCTACCATCCTGAATCCTGAAATTACTTTAATTTTAACTTGTAGTATATCATGTCACAGGGGGTTGTGAGATAAGAAAGCCTTTCGTTGAACTTGTGCCGTTCTCTGACCGGATTGACGTAAGCTCAAAAATGCTTTCATGTACATGCTGAGAAACTACCAAGGCCCGATTTACAAAGTTTATGAAAATGAAATGCTCGTTCACACCGCTTTAAAAATGCTCTTTTCTTTTGATTCGGTAAATCGTCTTGTAGTGTTAATTGATCAGTGGTAGATAGCCACATACTTCATGTTTCTTTGAATTTGCCGTTCTCTGAATAGATTTTATAATTTAATATATTGCGGTTCTGTTAAATTCCTGATGACGTGCTTAGCCGTCGGGGTTATGGAATTAAATCGAAGTTGGAAATCAAATAATGAACAAGTAAAAAAGGTTCCCTCCAAGCAAAGAAAATTATACCTTTATATTAATTAATTTACATCAAGTAAATTTGAACAAAATCCGACAACATATTGAGCAACTTCTTCTGTTCGATGTGGTGGAGCTAACGAAATAAAGCTTTTCCTTTCCAAAGTGCTGCCGTTTGCCGGAAATGTAGATAGCACATTAGTACTTTTAGGTGTATTATGAGAAACCAGCACTCCATCTCCTAATCAGACGGGAGTAAATACTGTCTACAAAAGCTAACAAAATCAGCTGTAATTGATTGAAATTGTATTGAAATTGTTTCCATTCTCAGCTTAAATGTGGTATCATTTTGTAATTTACGTTGACAACCGATGGTGTGTTATTTGTTGTTTTTAAAAGCAGCGGTCTTGATGTCAGCAATGATTTTCGATAGCTCGCCATTCCCGGTAGCGAGATTGTCTTTGTACAGCGCATGCTCGTCGGGAAGGGGGGGGGGGCGGTTGGAAATAGCGTTTGGCAGATTTTTGTGGCGTTTGCCCATCACATTTGAATCAGTTATTTTGCAATTTGCATGATTTTTGAATTGAGTTCAGCGCGTGTTTAGAATGGCGTTTGTTGAAACGCCGACCCACTGTCGCATTATCCGACTTGGCAAGTCGAACTTATGCTAGAGTCGAACCAATCAA